ATGTCTCGGGACCAGATCTGTGAAAATAAACATGGTCTCAGGGTTGGTGGTCAGTAAAGAAGAGTATTGCCCCATCATTGGTATTAGTGGAAGAAATAGTGCACCATTGTTGGTGTCAGTGGGAGGAATAGTGTACCATTGTTGGTGTCAGTGGGAGGAATAGTGCCTTGTATCATTCAGAGGAATAGTGCCCCAAGGGCTGCTTAAAGGCTGGCAAAGGACCGTATCCAGCCCCCAGGCCACAGTTTGGATACCTCCGATTTAGGGAGATATCCGAGTGCAGGGACATATTTTTTGTTTTTAGTACTATAAAAAGGAGAGATTCCCCTTAAATCATCAGTTTAAACTCACCTCCTTCCATTTTTGCCATTTAATTATCTTTTAAAAAGGGGACATTTGTTTTTTGGGGCTGCACAGTGGCTAAATGGTTAGCACTTCTGCCTGGCAGTACTAGGGTCGTTGGTTCAATCCCAGCCATGGCACCACCTGCCTGGAGTTTGCATGTTCTCCCTGTGCCTGCGTGGGTTTCCTCCGGGTACTCCGGTTTCCTCTCCACACTCCAAAGTCATGCTGGTAGGTTAACTGGATCCTGTCTAAATTGGCCCTAATATGTGTATGTATGACTGTAAGTTAGGGACCTTAGATTGTACGCTCCTTGAGGGTTAGGGACTGATGTGAATGTACAATATACATGTGTAAAGCGCTGCATAAATTGATGGCGCTATACAAGTACCTGAAATAAATAATTTATTAAAACAGTTAAACAAAAAGTCATCCCAGAATATTTTTTCAGTCTATATTTGACTCTATGCAGATTCTACACTGTAAAAAACATAGAAATACATTTGTCATAACACTGGATGTGAACTCAGAAAGTGCTGTCCTTATCTAACTCTGCATACTTGTACTGCAGCAGTGGGCTGCAGGTGCTATCAGTGGACACCCTAGGGGATCAGAGCAGAATTCCAATGTTATCACACACAAGAGTCTATGACCAGGTCACTGGATTGCGGTTCAGCCAGGATGCGTCTGAGCAGACTGTGGATTCTGTCTACTGCACATATATCTGCTGACATTTTTATGTCCCATGCCTGGTACTAAGTACGTATTTTAGACATACATCTTTACATAATATGTTTAATTCTTTAACTTTTCATAAACAACAATGCAAAAGACAACATTTACGATCATTTTGCAGTACTAAATTGGGCTTGTTTGATGTGTGGAGCCTGTTATCATACTGCAGTTAATACTATAATTGATAGTTTTTGTTTTTTAAGTCCGCTTATTTGCTTTGTCTGGTGTAGGCATGCTGTGCCAGCCAGTCCTACTTACCTTCAAACATACAACAATGTACTTCCTATTCTCTAATCATCAAAACAAGCGGCAATAAAATGTCGGCACATATCAATCATCCTCAGCAATGGCTGGCAGGGAGCAGAGATGACAAAGGAATATGCCTCTGGACTTTTCCAGCCTAAACATTTTCCATTATGTTTGTTTGATTATTATCGTTTCCTGTGGGGTTTATAAATATGCATCTTTTACAATTGGTATTAAACCCAAAAGCAAAGATTTAATACACTAGATTGCCAAAAGTATTGGGCCAGCCTCCAAATCATTGGATTCAAGTGTTCCAATCACCTCCATGGCCACAGGGGTATAAAATCAAGCACCTGGGCATGCAGACTGCTTCTACAAACATTTGTGAAAGAATGGGTGCTCTCAGGAGCTCAGTGAATTCAAGTGTGGTACCGTGATAGGTTGTCCCCTGTGCATTAAGTCCATCCGTGAAATTTCCTTGCTACTAAATATTCCATGAATCAACTGCTAGTGGTATTATACCAAAGTGGAAGCAACTGGGAACAACAGCAACTCAGCTACAAAGTGGTAGGCCACGTAAAATGACAGAGTGGGGTCAGCACATGCACAATACACAGAAGTCTCCAACTGTCTGAAGAGTCAATAGCTAAAGACCTCCAAACTTTGTGTGGCCTTCAGATTAGTACAACAGTGCCTAGAGAGCTTCATAGAATGCATTTCCATGAATGAGCAGCTGCATCCAAGCCTTACATCACCCAAGTGCAATGCAAAGCATCAGATGCAGTGGTGTAAAGCACGCCACCACTGGACTCTAGAGCAGTGGAGATGTGCTCTCTGGAATGACAAATACACTTCTCTATCTGGCAATCCAATGGATATGTCTGGTTATGGCGGCATGCCAGGAGAACGGTACTTGCCTGACTGCATTGTGACAAGTGTAAAGTTTGGTGGAGGGGGGATTATGTTGTGGGGTTGTTTTTCAGGGGTTGGGCTTGGCCCTTAGTTCCAGTGAAGGGAACTCTTTCAAGACGTCAGTATACCAAGACATTTTGGACAATTTCATGCTCCCAACTTTGTGGGAACAGTTTGGGGATGGCCCCTTCTTGTTCCAACATGACTGCACACCAGTGCACAAAGCAAGGTCCATAAAGACATGGATGAGCAAGTTTGGAGTGGAGGAACTTAACTGATCTGCACAGAGTCCTGACCTCAACCTGATAGAACACCTTTGGGATGAATTAGAGTGGAGACTTCAAGCCAGGCCTTCTCATCCGACATCAGAGCCTGACCTCACAAATGCGCTTCTGGAAGAATGGTCAAACTTTCCCATAGACACACTCCTAAACCTTGTGGACGGCAGCCTTCCCAGAAGAGTTGAAGCTGTTATAGCTGCAAAGGGTTGGCCAACTTAATATTGAACCCTACGGACTAAGACTGGGATGCCATTAAAGTTCATATGTGTGTAAAGGCAGGCCGACCAATACGTTTGGCAATATAGTGTATATTGTAGCTTAGTGATTCTTAGAGGCGATGGCTGCATTATTTTTCTAAACTGGTTATCCAGCCAGTAATTCTGTTGTTTTTCAGAAGCTCACACTCTCCAGTAGAATGTATCAGTTTAAATGAATGAGACAAACCACTTAACACTGGCAAGGGGTGATTATTTATGTAAAACCTTTATCCCAAAAGGAAAAAAAAACAAAAAAAAAAAAAAAACTTTGCTGTAATGGATTATAAAGTGTGATCTGGAGTTTGTTAGTGCATCTAAATCTGCTACTACATTTAACACTCCCCAGACTGACAATGCTGCTGTTCCTCCTGTGCTTTTTCACTTACGAAAACAGGAGCTGTGTTACCGACCAGATGACCACGTGGGAAAAAAGGGCCAATAAAAGAAAATGAATGTAGCCACCACATCTAATGACTGGTGAGCTGCAATATATTCCATTTTTGGTTTCAGGATTAATACTGCTTTTACTTATGTGGAATTGTACTTGTTCTGATCAACTTTTAGTATGATTGCATTCTTTTTTTTTAATCACATTAATATTTTGTACAAATACTTTGAATTCTGGTATCCATGTCAGTGTATTAGCATTCAGCGCTGCAGGTTTGGCACTGGTGGTTTTTAGCACAGGGATTGATGCCTAATCCTTAGGCCCCAATCACGCCATCCTGCTTGTAACCCTAAAGATAGCCAGACACTGGTAGAACGTTGTTCAAAAACATTCATTTTCAAAAGAACCGTTCGATTTTCTAAGAGTCATGGGGAAAAATCAACCTTAGGTTTTCGACACTATGGATGAGAAAATTTGAAAGATCATTATGGATTTTTTTGTTGTTTCTTATCTGAAGAAATTAAACTTTTTAGCTCTTTCAGGCTAGCTGCAGTGCTCTCTGAAGAGCGATTCACATTCAGATCACTTTTTAGAGGGCATTTCACAAGCAAACTAAGGATTTCTTATAACGCCACCTCACCACCTGATTTAACCCTAAAATGCCACAATACCACACTGCAATCATCTGCATAGCACGCAGTTGCAGCCCCAATATATGCAATGTGCGAGCTTGACAGGCGGTATTGCCTGTCAAACTCTGCACTTTGAATGAAAAATGCAGCAGCTGTGAAGCAAAGCATCGTGTCCATGGCATCTGTACATGCCTACTAAAGAGAGCACTATAGCTGGGTATACACGTATCAAAATTTGTCCGGTTCAGCAGGAACTAGCTTCAGTCGAACGGTCCTGTTAAAAAAAAAACTAGCATTCGATCATTCCATGATAGCCAACGGCTGCAGCGATGATCACTGTATTCTCTTAGGGGAGGAGTCCTCACTGTCAGAATACTATAGCACAGCAGGGGAGATCCCTGCACTACATTGGTTGTGTAGAAGCAGAAATCTGACAATCTTAGTTTTCAACGAAAATAAAAACATTCTGTGTGTATAGCCTGCTAAACTGTCAAAATCCAAGTCCAGGACATCTGAAAACTCTCCCTTGCAGTGGGGGCGAGCCTGCACCACATAGTTTAACTGCTTGTTTACTTTAAGAAAGAGTGAAAGCACCTTTATTTACCCAATCCTCCGCTCCTGCAGCGGACAGTGCTTCCCTATGGTCCGGAGGTGGATGGCCCCTCCATGTCATCATGTCCAATGCAGGGCTATGGACCTTGCATTGGTCTTGACGATGTCAGGACCTTAGACTGCTGGAGCATGGGGGAGGGGATGCTGTGGAGGCTGGGAATATTGGGTATGTACCCAGGAAGTTACAAGAACCAGGATATTAGTTTAGAACCCCAGAAAAGTATTAACATATAACTCTTTCATGCACATGTATAAAAAAAAATTCACAAAACTTTATTGCAAATATTAAAGTGTTACTAAACCCACAACAGTCTGTATATGCAGTAAAGCATGCTTGTTATACTCACTGTGGAACCTAAGGTGTTAATCCTCTGTATTGTGTAAAAGACCGTTTGATCTGGACTTCTCTGATCCTCCCCTTGTTCAAGCGTCTACCTCTTATCTCCTGATAAGACAGATTGAACTGTAGGCATTTTGCACATACTCAGTTTGGTGTGTATTGCTAGAGGGTTTTTTTTTTCCTTGGGATGCGCATGTGATCAGCACAGGGCCAATCAGCACTGTCCAGACAGAGGTCAGGAGTTTTGCATCCTCATGGAGGAAAATTAAAACTCCTCCTCCAAGTTTTAACCAGTGCTCTGCTGGACACTGATAGAAGTCACAATACTGCTCTAACTGCTGATGAGCAAAGGTATTTAGCAGTTTTTATTTACTAAAATAATTGTACTTCCATGTTGTGTGTACTGTGGGAGACCAGATATAGTGAATGCAGAGTCCTGGGTTTAGTAACACTTTAAAAGTTCCAATGTTACACAGTAAAACCAAGTGGTATGTTAATTGTATCCTAACTCGTGTTTTGCAAGCATTCCACTTCTTCACAAATGCTCATATGTTAGGATAGAACTTTGACAAAAGGTCATAATCTACAGTATAAAGAAACAAGTGTACAAAGCATTGCATATAAACAAAAATCACAAAAATGATACGAAACACGTAGACTAGGGCGTAAGTTGGGATACGATTGACATGCTGCATGGTTTTATTGTAGAATATTGGAACTCCTTACATACAGTATGTGTGTGAAAGAGTTATATGTTAATACTTTTCTGGGGTGCAATCTTCAATCCTGGTTCTTGTAGTGTCTTGCATACTTATGTTATTTGCGTCGGCAACCCCAGAAATGTATTCTTGTTTGTTGCCACCTCCAAAAGACTTTGGATTGCAAAGATCGGGTAAGTACATTTTCTTTTCTATGGCCCCTAGACCTAAACTATCCCAAAGTTCAGCTGTTGGGGGTTAAAGCATATGGTGAAGAGATGACATATAGCCTCTTCACCGCCTGCCAAATGGGGGCAGCTGTATTATTATTATTATACAGTATTTATAAAGCGCCAATAGTTCGCTCAGCGCTGTACATCACAATGGGGGACAGAACATGTGACAGAACAATAACAATACCATACAATGCAAAACATGAGGGGATCGAGGGCCCTGTTCTTTCGAGCTTACAATCTAGGAGGGAGGGGATGGTGGCACAGGAGGAGAAAGCTGTGGGAGATGGGGTGGTAGGAAGAGTGGAGGAGGTCGGCAAGTTAGCAGGGGGTGGGGTAGGCTTCCCTGAAGAGATGGGTTTTCAGGGTGCGCCTAAAGGAGGAGAGGACAGTAGGTGATAATCTGATGGGTTGGGGCAGGGAGTTCCAGAGGATGGGTGACACCCTGGAGAAGTCCTGGAGGCGGGCATGGGAGGAGGAGACCAGGAAACTAGAGAGAAGGAGGTCTTGTGAGGAGCGGAGTGTGCGTGGTGGGTGGTACTTGGATATTAGGTTGGTGATGTAGTTCGGGGCAGTATGGTGGACAGCTTTGTACGTCAGTGTTAGGATTTTGAATTTGATCCGTTGCGCCATCGGAAGCCAGTGGAGGGATTGGCAGAGGGGGGGGGGGGTGGCGTAAACGGAGCCCTTACTTGTGTACATTGAACCCAGTGTGTGCATACTTACATCTCCTGCATGGCGATCTTCTGTGCCAAAGCCCAACCATTCCTGCCCTGTGCGATGCCACAGCTGCTCGATCGATCGCTTCGTCTCTATGCTGTGCTGTAGGTCAATTTCCTGCTACTCTGATAATTCTTATCATTTATTCTTACTTGTGATAAATTGAACCATCTGAAGGAATGATCTCAGCACACCAATGACGGGTATGAGCATCAAGACCATTGCGTAGAGCACTTGAAATCATAAATAAAAAAACAAGCACATTTGTTATGTACATGACATATGCTGCGCTGTGGGGGAACGCATGCCTCATGTATGGTGTCATGCTGCCTACCTGTTACATGCAATATAACACAAAACAAATTGCTGTGTGGGCTGGATTTTCTCGGTTTGTGTTATGATTCATTCGCATTTCAATTCATTTTATGAAAAGCACAAGGACAAAAAAAAAGAAAAGGAAAAAAAACTAAAAAGGTGGAGGTTTCTATTACAGCAGCATTTAGAATTGTCTTTTTCTGAACGAGTAAAAAGCCAGAAGTCGTTCTGCACTGACGTTCTTCCTAAACAGCCCTCAGCATACCTGCTGCTCCAAATCCTTGTGACCATCATGGGGCCACTTCACATCTGTTATTGTGAAAAACACATCCAGAACTGACACTTTTTTTTTTTACCTAGCACTGATGAGCATTAACATACCTCAATGGACGTCTGCCTAAAGGTCATCTTCCCCAGAAAATACAACAATCCCCTCTGTGCAAAAATCAGCATGGATATGTAATATTGCCCATAGCAACCAGCCAGTATCCAAATGTCATTGCTTCAGTGCAGGGGTTAAAAAAAAAATAAAAATAATAAGAATTCTAATTGGTTGTTATGGTAACGAGTAGCTAGCATACCTTTCATGCATGAGCCCATACTGTTTTTGGGTGCACACAGCTCTGATGGTGGTCGTACACGGTGCAAGATTACTGAATAATCAATGTCTGATTCAACAAAGTGACCACATAAGACATTGCGTGAGTCAGAACAAAATGGCGCGACCAAGTGATGATCGACAGATAATGACGGTAGGGGTTTTTCACCTCCTATATATTTATTTACACGGAGCACCTGTGCAGGTAAACACAGGCCCTCATACAGTTTACCATCCTTCAGACTTTGGGCCAGACTGTGCCCAGTGGGAGTGAACAATGTCCCATCTTTTGTTCCCCATCGTTGGTGTCAGTTGGAGGAATAGTGTCTCCTCATTGGTGTCAGTAGAAGGAAAAGTGCCAGATTGATGCTGTCAGTAGTAATGATAGTGCCCTATGGTTGATGTCAGTGGCAGGAATTATGTCCCATCGTTTAGGTCAGTGGGAGGAAAATGCCTCAAGGGTCAGATATAAACAAATAGAGGGTCACATCCGGCCCCCGGGCCGCAGTTTGGAGAAACCACTGATCTAACACTATGCTCTGGTGTTTAAGTATACAATCTTCCTGAACAACAACAACAACAACAACAGGTACCTAAATGTGCTATTTTTTTTTTAAAACATCTTATATGTTTATTTACATGGAACACCTGTACATCCATCAGGCTCGGATCTAGGAGTACTGGGGTGGGCTCTATGCCCTCCCCCCAGATTTTAGTTGTTCACCCCCAGGTCATCCACTGATCCATGCGGCAGTCCGATGGGGACGCTCGATGTGAGGGGGCCCTCCGATGGGGACGCTCGATGTGAGGGGGCCCTCCGATGGGGACGCTCGATGTAAGGGGGCCCTCGATGGGACGCTGATGTAAGGGGGCCCTCCGATGGGGACGCTCGATGCTCGATGGGGACGCTCGATGTAAGGGGCCCTCCGATGGGGACGCTCGATGTAAGGGGGCCCTCCGATGGGGACGCTCGATGTAAGGGGGCCCTCCGATGGGGACGCTCGATGGGGGGCGATGGGGACGCTCGATGTAAGGGGGCCCTCCGATGGGGACGCTCGATGTGAGGGGGGCCCTCCGATGGGGACGCTCGATGTGAATGTAAGAGAGAACTCTGATGGGAAGAACTGATGCAAGGGGGACTTTGATGTTGACAAATGATGTAAGGGGGGGATCTGCTAGGGACACTTGATATATGGAGGCACAGGTTCTGTTTAATCATCCTAATAGATACTAGTGTTCCTTGTTCACTACTGCAATGCCTCTGCACCATCTTTCAGATGTTATTTCCAGCTTGCTATAAAAGTGAACAAGGAATACCCGTTTTCTGTATCTCTTTCACACTGTTGACATTATGCCCCCTGACATTTTATACGGCACCCCTGGATCAGATCAGGCTAAATCCGACCCTGGCATCCATGTGCAGGTAAACACAGGCCCTCACAAAAGTGTACGCTATAGTATGCCGTGTGTGAACAAACTTTTAAAAAGGGATTTAAAAGTCAAAAATTATTATTTTTTTTTTAGGGTCGGTTCACACCAGGACATGGCGCAGGAAACCCACGTTCTATGTGCATTTCCTGCACCGCGTTCAAAACACACTGTAGTTGCAATCTGCAGCAGCCCATTCATTTTAATGGGCTGCCTTACCTAATGCACTAAAAAAAGGTTCATGCACTAATTTTAGTAACGCAGCACACAACAATGGAGGGTAATGCATAAGTGCGCATTACTGCAGTGCGACTGTGCCAAGATAGCCCATCAACAGTCCATGAGATGCAGAAAATTCAAACATGCAGGATTCTTGTGTGGTTCTGCAAAGACAGCTAAAACCTGGCATTTCCCATAATAAGCAGATCTCAGCAGGTATAGATTTACTACAAAACATTGGCCCATATTTACAGCACACTCATGAAATGATAATTACATCTTCTGCCAGAATGATCCTTTTTGATGCCAGCCTTTGTTTACTGAGCAAATTGTTATGTCACTGCTTGTTCACACTAGCATTTGGAGGGGGCAGTAAAAATCCTGTGGTTCAGCCATTCCTTTACCACCCAGTGGTGTATCTAGGTTTTGTGCTGCCCTAGGCAACACAAAAATCGGCCACCCCAACCTTTCCTGCAGAGACAGCCTGACACTGACCAACAGGCCCCCCCCCCCTACACATTGTGGAGAGAGCATAACACTGACCAACAACCCCCCAAAGAAGAGCACCTGACACTGACCAACACCCCCCACACACTGCAGAGAGAGCATAACACCAACCAGCAACCCACCCCCCCAAAGGCGAGAGCCTGACACCAACCAACACCACCTCCCCCCCAGCAAGAGCCTTCCACTACACCCGCCGCCACCCCCTTCCCATCCCTGGAAAGAGAAAGAAACTCACCTTTGCAGCTCCGGTCATCCCTGGGAATGAGAGTCGGGCTCTGCATACACCATAAAGCAGCCTGCAGGCTCTCATGGATCCCACCATGAAGTGTGTGTTCCTTATTCCAGGGGGCAACGCTGCCCCCCTGAAAAATGCCACCCTAGGCAAATGCCTTGTTTGCCTTGTGGTAAATACGCCCCTGCCACCACCCCCAACCACGACCACTTTTAGTTGCAGAGGTAACAGCAGGAACTATGCCATTTTTTTTTTCTGCAAGCGCACCGCAACTGAGCACATTGCATGCTAGCGCAGGGATCAAGGGGTTAAAGCAGGTGATGAGGAGGTGATAAAATGCCTTTTCACTGCCTGTCAAAATGCTCTCTGGAGAGCATTCTGAGCGCAACTTGCTCATCAGAGGAGTACCACAGTGTGAACAAGCCCTTAACATGTATGGGTATCAACACATGGACGTTTCCTTTGACTCATAGTCTATTTACACTG